CAGGCATGGATAAGTTACTATATAAATTACACATGTTTCGATGTATGTTGAATTTACAGTTTGTTTGTTCTTTCTGACATTAGAGTCAGTCAGAACAGGCTAACCCTAACACTTCTGGTGTAGTTCAGGGTAGCGTCATCGAGGCTTTCCTGTTTACACTTTATATCAGTTGTGCATGCACTTGCTTCTCACATGGTAAACCGTTCATCTTTGGAGATGACCTAGAAGTAGCTATTACATTCCAATGTTATTACCTGGGGTATTTCCAGAATGTTGTGCAGAATGATCTAGATAAAGTGACTGTTTGATTATCTTAATGGAATCTACTATTCAATCTGAGAAAATGTGGCGCACCCTCAATCGATATATGAATAACGCTACAATCCGCTGACCTACTTGGACTCCGAAGTGTCGTTGACTTAGGTCTGAGGTATTCTAGTAACCTAACATTTTCTGAGCAAGTGGCATCATAGACTCAGAAGTCGAGGATGCTCTTAGGACTTTCATGACAATGAAGCCGAGCTAATTCTATACAAGATATGTACAAGGCCACTATTAGAATGTTTTCCATTTATTATTAACTGCACTCGCATATGTGGCAAACTGAGAATGGAAAGTGTCCGACGATATTTCACGCCTAAACTACTCGGGTATTACTTTAAAGATTACATTTCACGGTGTATGACTCTAAATTGTGATCCGCTTCGGACGAGACGACTTATTATAAACTTCATAGTCATGAATTCTAACATATGGAGCAGTTTGTCCATAGAAACCTCAGTTGTGAGTTTCAGTCTGTACAGACTGCTCCATTCTACTGATTACATTAACAAACTACTTATTTCCAGAACGAATCAATCGGCGGATTACCGTAGCAGCTAGAGAACTCGCAAAACTTCACTAATTATTCTATATAAACGATGAAGAGACCAGATACGTGGGTGTATAAATAGTCTAAGAGAATATCAGTATGGAAGTTTGCTGGACGGCAATTCACAGTGAACACAAACATTTAAATATATTAACATTTAAGTTCTATTTGTGTCCACATACATTTTTTCTTGTGCTTTGCTGCTTGCCTTTTCACTTCTGTTTAAATTGTGGTAGAGGTTGCAAAGACCTACAGTAAGGCTGAAGTTAGACGGGACTCGGAGCCACTGACGTACCTATACCCCATCATCCTTCAAGCTATTGGTTCGTAATAACTTAGCTTTCCTAAAACTCCCAGGTCATCCTATGAAGATTCTGAATAACTTTCTGTACGAACAGAATCTATGACCTAAAACGAAGATGCAGCTGGTTTACAAATAGATTTACACATCTTGATCAACTTACGCGCAAAGACTACCATTCAGCCACAAATGACAGTGATCGCCAACTTTGTGGAACTATCATATTTCTGATACAGTAAAACAAATCTGCCTGGTTATGGCCGGTACTCGTCTGAGTAGGATAAAATTCACTTCTAATGGCGCCCTACGTTTAAACTGATGAGGAAGTGATGCAAATTTACTACTCACACTGAACTAACACACCATCCGCCTACGAACCAAGAGTAAGATTCTATGCCTCACACAGCTAAGTTACACGGAAGAATTCATGTCGAGCTGTAATTTTTCCAGGTTTTTGTGATCCATGCAACACAGACTTGGGTGCTTTTGTCAGTGTGAAAACAATATTTCTATATTTCTCAATATGTCATATTGGATGGCTAGTTGGCAGGTTGTTTCAATAACTAAATTCGAAAAGAACAGTAACCGGATAAATCCACCATAAACCGAATCTATGTGAATTAAAAATACTTATCCATGCCTGCACAATTGGTGTGTGTTCCTGCATAGACAAAAATTAATATATTATTATAATACACTGTTATATTACATTGGTATGGTTTTTGAGCAAGGCTGAGTTTTGATAGCGACGTTTCCTCAACGAATTCAGTCAACCAATTTTCATTTTTCTAACATTGGATAGTCCACTTTGTCGATACCATGGAAGTGCTATTTGAAAATGTCCACCTACCAGCTGTGTGGATCCAGACACGATACTTAGAGCTCTACGATCTGCGACAGACATAGGTGCAAGACCATTAGCCTCGTCACACTCATTCTTACAAAACTTTTCGAACATAACCTAAATTCCCTCTGTAGATTAGGTGCAATTCACCATGTTAGTTTCTCCAAGGATCTTATTGCTTGCTTTTTAAAGTTTTTATGGTTAAAGGTTCATCAACTCCACCGAACCTTTTACAAATCGTTACTTGTACCTCTGGCACATTACAGTCAGTAATCATCTTAATCTTCCTAGTCCTAAGGCCTGGTAGGACTATGCTATGCAAGAGGCTTTACGATGGCATCTGATCTGTTGTCAGCACAGATCTTCTCAGTTGAGGTAATTCTTTTACTATCCACGCCTTCGACACGGCAACCTGAGCAGAGGGATCCAGCGGTGAAACTTCCAGTTGTCCCTGCCTGCAGGACAGAGCGGATTTTGGACCCGGTGTCTTCAGAGAAATTGTTTTAGATGTTCCTTGCGAACCTAATTCTCTCGTCAGATACTCTTCGACAATTGATGTGTCTGACCTACCATTAGAAAAGGCACAAGTTTAAAAATACTTAACGTTGTATCTAGCTAGAAAGGGTTCTTTAGCAAACGCAACCTCACTCAACTTCCTCTCAAATGTTCACATTACTACACTGTTGGGAGTGGTTGTTCACACCGTGTTTTAAATCATTTAATAATACTTGTTTTCTGTGTAGCAATATGTAATGTATCCAACCACAAACTTCAGTCAAGCAGCCTTTTGAAAACCGGCAATTCTTTGCTAAATGGTTAGCATTTGATCGGTGGCTACATAGCTTTCTCTTGGAAATGAAGTCTGAACGTTCATTGAGGTCCTTAACTTTAAACTGCAGTCATCAGTCTAGTTAATGTTCCCCTGAACATAATACATAAGGTGAAATGAATATACGCGACTCCTCTCAGGATCATTAGTCGGGTTTTCAACATTATTAATAATAAATATATATTTATTCTTATCTTTGTAGAAACACACCAAATGTGCAGGCACGGATAAGTATTATTTAAACTGAAAAAATTTGGTTTAAGGTGAATTTACATGTTTGTTGTCCTTTTAGACTTTCGTTGGTGAGAACAGTCTTCTAACTAGTCACTCGACAGAAAGCATTAAGAAATATAGAAATGCTGTCCCCTCATTAAGGAAATAATTGAAGTCTGCATTGGATGGATCACATTTACTTGGGAAAAAATAGGACCTGAGGTCAGTTCTCCCGTGTAACTTCTCTGTGTACGGTATGAACATGCTGACTCCTTCTCAGGACCATTGGTCGGGTTTTCAACATTACTGTCTGAAAGCTAAATAGAGCTCACTAGGTATCAAAATATTTCTCTGTAGGGATATTAATCTCCTAATCGTTTCTTCTGGCGGAATGCCCACTTAGCAGAAGTCCATACCTGGTGTTAGCGATATTCGACTGCTTCTTGACGAACAAGCTTAAGTCACAACCGATAGTCCACTGTCACTCTACATGACTTTTTGAGCAACTTCTATACATTCTCTTTGATAATGTGCAGAAAGTTTCAGGACTAGGTGTTTAATAGTCTTACCAGAATTCAAATCCGAAATATAATTCATCTGCTGATGCATTACCTTGCACGTTTGCATTTCGTGACACAACTTTCTCAACAGAGTGGCATCGTTTCCACTTATATTGGGGAAATCAAGAGGCTTCTCTTTAAAGGACTGGGCCACGAAATGCTCGTGACCGAATGCTTCCCCTACCTACTCCAAGGCTTTGTAATATCATTTTTCTGGCTCTACCAGAATACAGTGCTTGATAACAGCATTTGCACCCCGCTCGCAGTACAGAACCAGATGACTTAACTTAGCCTAATATACGACAACATCACTTTGCACCTAGTATTCAAAACAGTTTAAGAAATTCCAATGATTTAAGGGGTTGCATTCAAACTTAATCATCTCTCTTTTAAACATATCCAGAAACTTGAACATGATTCTGGCAAATTCATAATTAGCTAACATACAAACTGCAGGAGGGGCCGGAGGTGTACTCAGCGACTTCTTATGATCTAAGAATTAAGGGCCTACCTGCAGTAATCAAATTGGATGATTGCAAAGTGAAACATAATTTTCAAAGTTCCAGCAGCGTCACTACCCCGGTACAAACCATATATTCTTCTCTAGGTAAACGTGGGCTTCCTACAGATTAACGGCTATCATGGGTGCAGATTGTAATGGAATCCCCCAAAGATCTTGAACTGCTCCGAAACAACAAGGAGTGGGCACCAAGAAATCACGAGATGTGAACAAACTCGTCGAAAATGTATCACTTATTGGACCAAAGCTCATTAGTTGGTTTACATTAGTTCTCTATGAAAATCCTTGATATTTGAGGGAGTTTCATTTGCTCAAGGTCATTTGCAGTTTTGTGAAACTAAATTATCACTCATGCCACCAGACTATACATGAGATAGCAGACGTGCACACCCTATTGAAGCCAATTTTTCAATGGCGAAGTTTAACCATAGCGTCTCAGGAGTGCGAACTCTTCAACACTTACAACTGTGTGGAAATAATCCTGAATAGTTTAGAAGAATTTATCGGATGCTGTAAATCTAAGAGAATAAAATCGATTCTGAGAAAAGTACAGTTCAGAATGTAGTCAGACGTGCATATAATTTAGGCATTATTTCGGCATTATCTCACCATACAAAAAGCTTGGTTTATGCATTGTCATAGCTATTAACACACAGATTAAGAAACATGTAGAAATTTGCTTTCCAATACTGTTTTATAATACATTGGTCACTGAAAGTATTGTTTTAGGGGAAAACAATGAAATGCTCACTAAACATACCTCTCAAGCTTAAAGTGATGCGAAAATAGTGTCTTTTGCATAGGCAGTCATTGTGGAGATAATGCTGAAATATTACCATTTTCCATAATTCAGTCACCATAAGAATAGCCTTCTCAGTAGTTGAACATATATGAAAAATGTCTTGCGCATCGTTTCACCCCTCTCGGCATTATGTCGTCAACACTGGATGTTGTTTTAGCATTATTATCTTTACACCTAAAGAAATATATTCACCATTTAGGCTCTCTATTTACTGCTCCATTTCCTCTTTATGTACCCGTGTGGTATTGCTATCTCATTTCATGTCTTGCTGTACCTTACGTGTGCCCATATCTGTACGTTTCGTGTAAGTGTGAAGCTTATCAGAATAATATTTGACACGTCTTTTACTAGCAGAGATTTATATATATTCGCTGATTTAATTCAGCCAGCCACCTGTCAATAATGAAGAATTACGAAATTACTGGTTTTCAACTGGAAATTTTTTGTTTATTAGGTTAAATTACACAGCTTAGTCATGAGATTAATCTGTTTAAGAAAGTTTAAAGCAAAACTAATTGCGTCAACCACTCGTAAAAAGAAGATATATATTAAGGTTAGATTGGTGAATCCTAATTTATATAACTCGATTTATTTTGTGATACTACGTGGCTGTAATTTATCGTTCCAGTTTGAAATCGACTTTCGGATTTGCAGGAGTATGTGGCGGCCTAAAAACATATCAAATTATATGTTCACGAAAAAAAGAAGGAATTCAACCTAAAAAACCTTGAACCGCGCGGAAGGAACGAATCGTTCGCCATCTCTCCGGCTGCTCGCCCAGCACATCTGCTGACCAACGCTGCCTCGCACTGGTTGACACATCCCCGTCAAGAACTTTGCTCCTATCTGCCTTACTCTACGTGGATCCTTCCAACGGTTGACAGCGCTAAGTTGTAGTGGAGAATTTGTATAATCAAGAGAAGGACAATTACATTCCTATAATTTCGTACGTCTATAATTTGTGTATTTTGTGACTGTTATAGTTTTCTTCAAATAACCTCAGTCCTATTTTTGTGTATATTAACTTAAGTGAACTGAATATTTTATATACACGTATTTGTTAGTACTTGTTCTGTCCTTTTAATTGCGTTTATATACTTACCTAGCTACTAGGTCCACTACACTTAATTGGTGAGCCCGTTTTGGAACACGGATTGTTTTCCCGTATCTATATACTTATTTTTGCTATTTTGTACTTTCATTGCAAGTTTTTGTTGGTGGTCTCATATTTGTATTCCCCTTTGTATCAATATTCTCACACTTATAATGTCGTCACCAATACTCACCGCCATTGCAGACTTAGCGGCAAGGCTTGACAAGTTGGAAACACATAGATCTGATCGACGAGTCGAGAGGCGGAGTTCACAAGCACGGTCACAGTCACATAGAAGATCTCTCTTCCGGCAGCGGTCCCGAATGTCTTCTAGGGACAGTAATATATGTTGGTATCATAGGAAGTTTGGACGTCATGCCTTGAAATGTGTCAGACCGTGCATCTTTAGTGAAGAGAACCAGGCTCAGGGGAAACGTCTCAACCAGACAGTGATGGCGACAGCTGTTACTGGCAACCATTCAAGTCGCCTTTTCTACGTGAAGGACAAAACCACAGGCACATTATTCCTGGTAGACACAGGAGCCGAAGTTAGTGTAATACCTCCTTCACTCTCCAGGCGATCTTCTAGCACAGCTGCAAAACTCTCACTTCGAGCAGCTAACCAAACTAGCATACGGACTTACGGCGAACAATCACTTATTTTGGATCTTGGTTTACGTCGTCGATTTACATGGATATTCATAGTAGCTGACGTTAGTCATGCCATATTGGGTGCCGATTTTTTAAGCAATTTCAATCTGCTGGTTGATGTCAACAAGAAAAAGCTGATTGATAACTGCACCCAGCTTCAAGTCCACGGAATCATCTCAAACTACTCTGTTTATAACATATGCATCGAGAAGCCAGATGACTGCATGTTCTCTGCATTACTGCATCGTTTCCCAAAAATTTTAAAGCCATCTTATAATATCGAAGATGTTCCTCATTCTGTCACGCATAAAATTGTCACAACTGGTCAACCCGTCAGAGCACGTCCTCGTCGACTACCACCTGACAAGTTAGCAGCAGCCAAAGCTGAATTCGAACACATGATGCAATTGGGCATCATCCGGCCATCCAACAGTCCCTGGTCCTCACCATTACATATGGTACCAAAAGCTGAGCATGATTGGCGACCGTGTGGGGATTACCGACGTTTGAATAACGCCACTGTTCCAGATCGTTATCCCATTCCCCACTTGCATGATTTCTCTCTAACACTGCAAGGTAAAACTATTTTCTCCAAAGTGGATTTAGTCAGAGCTTATCACCAGATACCAGTTGCTCCAGAGGACATCGAGAAGACAGCCATTATAACACCTTTTGGCTTGTTTGAATTCCTACGAATGCCTTTCGGGCTGAAAAACGCTGCACAAACTTTTCAGCGCTTCATGGATCAAGTCACGCGGGGCCTTGACTTTGTATTCGTTTATATCGACGACGTACTAATTGCTAGCAAGTCGGAAGAGGAACATAAGAATCATCTTAGCACTTTGTTTCAGCGTTTCGAACAGTATGGTGTCGCGATAAATCCTAAGAAGTGCATTTTCGGTGCCTCTTCTATTCAATTTCTGGGACACTACATAACTGCCGAGGGAATCAGGCCTACTGAGGAAAAGATAGATACAATCAAAAACTTCCCCCAACCAGACTCTTTGAAGAAAGTCCGACAATTTTTGGGGATGTTTAATTTCTATCGACGTTTTATTCCTTCGTGTGCCTCTATCGTCCAGCCTTTAACCGATCTCCTTAAAAGTGATCCTAAAAAATTTCAATGGTCAGAGCAAGCACACGAATCTTTCTGCAACGCGAAAGACGCTTTATCTAAAGTCGCTATGTTGTCTCACATCAACCCCGACGCATCTCTTATCTTGTGTACAGATGCCTCCCAAGTAGCTGTGGGCGCGGTGTTACAGCAGAAGATTAATGGTGACGTTACCCCACTTGCTTTCTTTTCGAAGAGGTTAGAACCGGCTCAGACAAGATACAGTACTTTTGGGAGAGAATTGTTGGCTATATACCTAGCAGTCAAACACTTCAGTTACTTACTACAGGGTCGTCATTTCACTATTTTTACCGACCACAAACCTCTGTGCTATGCTTTCACCACTTCGCTGGATAAACACTCCCCAAGAGAAGCCAGACAGTTAGACTATATCTCCCAATTTTCAACTGACATACAGTACATCAAAGGGGACGCAAACGTGGTAGCTGATTCTCTTTCAAGAGGTGGTATACACCAGCTTGAAACTTCAGTAGACGTCAGTCTTGACCGCATGGCTCAGTTACAAAGAGACGACGCAGAACTTCGAAGTTGTCGTGGAAACTCTTCCTTACAGCTCAGGGACGTACCTATTCTCTTGTCAGATGCCACTATAGTTTGTGATGTATCTACCGGCACTAATCGCCCGTTCGTTCCTCTCCAATGCCGAAAAGCCTTGTTCGACCACTTACATTCGCTCTCTCACCCTGGAGTACGTGCCACCGTCAGACTCATCAGCGAACGTTTCGTGTGGCCTAAAATGAACTCTGACATTCGGAGATGGGCACGAGAATGTCTCCAATGCCAACGCTCCAAAGTACATCGCCACACTATCACAACGCCGAAAGCGTTTGATTTACCGGACAGGAGATTTCAGCACGTTCATATAGATATCATAGGACCATTGCCAACGTCAAGAGGATATACACATATCCTGACAGCCATTGATAGATTTACTCGTTGGGCTATTGCATGCCCCCTGAACGATATATCTGCCGAAAATGTTGCTTTGGTCTTCCTCGACCGCTGGGTGTCAAATTACGGTGTACCAACTACTATTACATCCGATCGAGGTGCTCAATTCCAATCGACGCTGTTTCGTGAACTGACGAGACTCCTGGGAGTTAAACATATCTCCACAACAGCCTACCATCCGGCAGCGAATGGTCTTGTGGAAAGATTTCACAGACAACTGAAAAGCTCCCTGATGGCACAGAATGATGCATCTAAATGGAGTGAATACTTACCTCTGATTTTACTTAGCATACGATCAACTGTTAAAGAGGACCTTGGTTGTACACCCGCACAACTAGTTTACGGCACTACTTTAACACTGCCAGGACAGCTAGTAGCCTCTCATGACTCTCAAAATGTGAATATTTCTGAGTTTTCTGATCAACTGACCAGACGAATGTCACAGCTTCAACCAATAGCTCCGAGACAATGTCCCCGCAGAGAAAACCTAAGTAGCCATCTACAAACCTGTAAATTTGTCTTTATACGGATTGACAACGTCAGGAAAGGGCTACAACCTCCATATGAAGGCCCATACCCAGTAGTGCATCGCGCGGAAAAATATTTCACAGTGAGCAAAGAAGGCAAAAAGATGACGGTCTCCGTGGATAGACTCAAACCTGCCTACACAGATGCCGACGACATCCCAACAGCGACTTCAGCAGACAAACTAGAAACCGCCAAAGCTCCAGAGGTGCCAATAATGCTACCTCCCCCTTGCATTACTCGTAGTGGCAGACAGGTTAATAAACCTGCCCGTTTTGTACACTTTACTGATTAATATCTTTAAGGTTGTAACAATTTTTTTTTACGTATACATCATTGATTATTGTTGTTAATTATTGACTTACGTAGTTTATTTGTGTCAGATACGACATCATTTTTTGTGCCGAAGCATTGCTTTTTTTTTTTTACTACCTCAGTACTGTATATGTGTATATATGTATTCACAATTGTTCTCCCATAATTACTACTATATTGGTTAGCGTTTTAACGGACATTATCCTTATTATTATTATTATTAGTGCCATTCAGTTTGATGCCATCGTTCCAATTAACATTGATCTCTTTCGCAATTTTTTTTTCTTTCATGTGTCATATAAACAGAGCTGACATATACTCACCTGTGTTTATTAAGAGAATATTTTTTTTTTTTTGTTTGTTTTGTTTTGTGTGCGTGTTCACTCTCCGTAATATGTATCCATTGTACTCCCACCCACTTCCAGTTCAGAAGTTGATGTTGAACTATTCACTAAAGCGTAAAAAAAAATCTTTTCCATTTTTTTTCGTATTCTCATAGTGTTCTGTAGCATTATAATTATTTTTCTTCTCACAATTCTACTGCAAATCGTCGGTAGCAGTTCCTCCGGACTTCTAAGAGGGGGAGCCGTGTGGCGGCCTAAAAACATATCAAATTATATGTTCACGAAAAAAAGAAGGAATTCAACCTAAAAAACCTTGAACCGCGCGGAAGGAACGAATCGTTCGCCATCTCTCCGGCTGCTCGCCCAGCACATCTGCTGACCAACGCTGCCTCGCACTGGTTGACACATCCCCGTCAAGAACTTTGCTCCTATCTGCCTTACTCTACGTGGATCCTTCCAACGGTTGACAGCGCTAAGTTGTAGTGGAGAATTTGTATAATCAAGAGAAGGACAATTACATTCCTATAATTTCGTACGTCTATAATTTGTGTATTTTGTGACTGTTATAGTTTTCTTCAAATAACCTCAGTCCTATTTTTGTGTATATTAACTTAAGTGAACTGAATATTTTATATACACGTATTTGTTAGTACTTGTTCTGTCCTTTTAATTGCGTTTATATACTTACCTAGCTACTAGGTCCACTACAAGTATGAATCCCAATTTTCTCAGTAGATAGTTAGTAACCTAAACACTGCCAAAATGACTAAACATATAAACGATGATTTAACTAATAAGACTTTCAGATTATTTTATAGAAGTGAAATTATGTAATTCCAAACTTGTTTATTATCACGTGTAAGGTTTACTTTATGACCAGAAGATCGGGATTCAAAGCACCATGCATCATTATCTTCAGTGGTAATTCGAGGTCATTTTTTTTGTTTAGCTTTCCTGTTATATCAGGTGTTTGCATAAACTGAACTGTAGGCTATAAAACTTGCACAAACCGTGTTCGATGTCTCATCCCTAACTGATCTTTATTGGTTAAAGAAGAGTTGAGCTGATTTAGAAGTCAGACATGTTCTGGTTCTCTTGTCTTGGCAGTCAAGATGGATAAGCGCCTTGTTATCATTTCGATATTTCCATGTGTTTACGCAACCAGATATATCTTGATATAGTAGAAGAAACTAGCTGGTTGAAGCTTGTGACTAACAAGTTCAGTCGGAAGTAATTAATTTGATTTAGAAAAAAAGGTTCGGCTAACCTATCGAACCATTGTCATGTATGTTATCTAACAATGACTGAAAGCATGTTTAATATCCTTAGATATGTTTGTTTACTGATAAAAGTGAATAGGGTTAGTTTTATTATTTATTATTATTGTTCCCTTGGGTTCCGAATGGAACATAGGGTTTCAACTACACATCTCCACTTTGCTCTTTTTGTTGCTGTTGGCTTCATCTGGGTCCACAATTGCCCATAACCTCTCATCTCTTCCTCAAACGATCTCCTCCACGTCACCCTCGCAACGACGACCCACTCGTCGCTTCCCACTGAGATTCCACTCGAGGCATTGCTTAGCGCGCCATGTCATTCGACGGTTTCCTCAATGTATGCCCGGTCAATCCATCTCCATTTCCTCCTACATATTTGTCGAGCTATCGGCTCTCGCCTGTAGGTTTGTTCCTAACCAGAGTTTCTTGTTGTTAATTCTTTCTGACCGGCTGGCCATTTGATCTTCAGTGTGAAGCCAGCCAGCCAAGGTGAGCAGCTTTTGATAAAAGTCTACAGTAGCCTGTTGGAAATCCTTTTTGTAACACGTTGACCAAGTTCCTGACCCGTATAGAAGCACTAACCGACTTGATATTGCTGTTGAAAATCCGAATCTTGTTCTTTTAATACTGGCTGAGTGCAGAAGATTTCCAAACTGATTACAGGGGTAGTTAATCCATTCACTTTTGCAGTTGTCTACGAATCGTGTGTTAATGCTCATAGTTAAAAAATCTCTGTAAATTATCATCTGTTAGTTTTGCAGGAATTTGATTGGTTCTCTAATTGATTTAAGTTCGTGGTCAATCTCTGTAAATGCCTAGCATTTCCTTTATCCTATATTGATTTTCATTCAAATGTCTAATCATCAATTTCACTCATGTATATAAATGAAGTAAAAAGTTGTGTGAGTGACTTGATGTGATTATGAGCAATAGTTTGTGCTCAAAACGTCATCAGTTAGTATTACTGTATAAAGACATTGTGTGATTTATCAAAATAAAATCTTATCTGTAATGTAGATCTGAAAAATGTTTTCACATCCTCGTAATATTTATCATAAGCGAGAAAATATATACATATATATAGTGTAGTTATTGGTTAGTTTCTAGGTAATTTGTTTCTGAAGTCCTTGTTAGGTGTATTTTTTAAAATAAATCCTTCCTATGCTTATCAGGCCACATGTGCAAGCAAGCTGTAAACTTCCTAGAGTATAATTCCATCTACCACGGTAACTTTTATTGTATAACTTGTTATCTTTTGAAATAACAGACGGCAGAATAAGTCAATTTGAGTTTAGGCTAAATTAAGACTACAGATTGATATCTGTTAGAGAACCACTGAAAACCAGGCAGTACTGGACAGCTGTTTCATCAGCCTGATCAGTGAGTTCCAGCCTGTCAAGTGTGAGGATGGATTTCCCACCGATGATATTGGTTGGTGCCAGTCGCGCTAAATCACGAATTGGTAGAAGTTAGAATTCATGGAATGGCCATTGAATCGGGTCCCAGTGGCTGAATGGTATACGAGCCAGCTTGACTTGTAACCGGAAGGTCCTGGATACAAACCCTAGCGGTGGGTGCGAACTGCCAATGATTCCCAAACTAGGTCCAGTACTGCCTGGGTGGTTTTCAATAGTTCTCTAACTGATATCAATCTGTGGTCAAACTCGTAAGAACCAAATCTAATCCTTACAAACCAAACTCTTGTAAATTAAGACCACTACTGTTAAATTTATTCCAAAATGTGTAGGGAAATTCCTAATCCCAGGGCTACCGTATACACATGCAGAACATTTTCTGATAGATGGTTTTATCCATGCATCATACCAACGAGTATGAACATGTCTACTTATGCATATAACTCAGCAATGAGTTTATCATCTAGTAAAAACCGATTTGTTACAGGATTTCATCATGAGTTGACATTGGTTACAGAACCATTGGAAAACCTGGGAGTACTGGACAGCTGTTTCGTCCTAGTTTGGGACTCTTCATCAGTACGCACCCATCTGGGTTCGATTTATATATATATATACTTCTGCCAGATAACTACATACAATCCGTCTGCAAAAAGACTCCCATGTTACCTAGGTATTTGTTAGTATGTGTATTCTCAGACAATAATAAACAAACAAGTCATACTAACTAAGCCTACTGTTTCATTTATCCCTTTAGATGTCATCTACAGAGAATTGTACATGTGATGAATTGTCAAGCAACAAGAGTCCATGGTGTGGTGCCAATTGTTTTGTAGCAGTAACTGGTGCAAGTCGTGGATTTGGTCAAGCTTTCTGCATAGAACTAGTGAAATCAATGTCATCTGGTGAAGATCATGCTGCTTCTTTGAATATTTTATTGATGGCTCGTGATGTCAGTGCACTTCGGATAACTGAGTCTAAGGTAACTAACTATTTCTATGTGTTTATGTCTTAGTGTTGGATTTATACAAATTGCAATAGAATTAAACGTAGATTAGTTCTAGATTCCGTCAAGGCATGGAAGTTACGCCATGATATATTATTATTATTGGCTATTTAAACAATGGCATGCTTAAATCCCAAGTGATAGCAGATAGCTTTCGCATTCTAGGCATCCTAGACACTAGTTTCTCAATGGAACATACTGCCTAAGAAATAAGTTACACGTCGAGAATACAGTTATCCGCTATCTCGAACATGGAAATTTACAAATCTACCGTTGGAAGATGTAAGATTATTTAAAAGTCAATCTGAACGAAGAATATTCTTTTCAATAATTTCTCCTCTTCAGGTTTTTACAATTATAAAATATAATATTTGTTGTCGTTACAATAATGACGGCCAGTTATGCAGCGGATACATTTTTTAACGTGGAATAACAGATTAGTTGTTATGGGGTGTCAGAATAAATAGTAGTATCTGTGTGACAAACGTGCTAGGCTGAGATCGACCACAAAATATTGTAAAATGGGAGACAGTGGTGGTGATTAGTCATAACAGATTTATAGAATGTGTGGTAGAAAAATTTACGAGTTAGTTTAAGGTTATAAAAGGTGCCAGGTGATTGAGTGGCTAGTACAAAATAGTATGTATTAAAGAGGAGAAGATAGTAAGACTGCGATGAGAGGTTCATAATGAAATAAAGAATGTGTGAACTGAAACAGGTAGAGGCACATATTGAGAGAAGATATAATATCACTAATAATAAGTCTGGATAGTATAAATGGAAATTCCGATAGTAGTGAGAGAATGTTTATATATTACGACGAATAATAATGATAATTGTAATAATATGCAAAGAAAGAAAAGAAACCAAGAGGGTTAAGGGGAAGAAGCACTTTTGGTGAGAAGAATAATTACGAATGCAAGTTTGGCCACAGTAGGGACAGCGTCTGGACGTGTTGTTTTTGGATGCAAAGTTCCGGTTTGGTTGATCTTATTGCAACAGCTTCAGCTATGTCTAGAAGACGTAAGCGAACTGTACGCGATAACGACTTCGGAATTCGGTATATAACCCTGAAAGCTGTGTTGAATTTGATGTGATGTCCAGTATCGACCAAGTGTGACAGGATCGAGTCTTTTATGCGCTTAATTTCCCCCCTGCTGAACAAAGCTGGTAAATATTCTCGAACCCGTAGACGAACCTGTCTAATAGTGCACCCTATATAACTTGAACCACAGGAACAGTTTAAATGGTATATGCATGAAGAAGAGCTAAGGTTAGGTAAGGCATCTTCGGGTTGCTGGGTGAACATTGGACGGCTATTGAAGGATAGACGCAGACGTGCAGAGCAGAAAGCTTTCTTTATCGCCCTGGTTAAACGTTGCGATAGCATCTCCACAGCAGTAGCTCCCTTGAATTGTAAACGTGAAACAAAGGCTTTTTCTCCAATGTTTCGAGTTGATGTTTACGGCTATTGTAACCTATGTTGGCTTTAATGAACTTCTCTGGATATCCGTTCTCACTTAGGATGTCTCGGATGACCTGGAGTTTCTTCTCTACACAGTCTTCGGAACAAATGCACCTCGCTTTAAATGCTAAGCGCCTGATCAAATTACGTTTGTATTTCATCGGTACGAAGCCAAGGAAGTTTGTATACTGAGCTTTGGTCTCTGGCTTTCTAAATATGGTTCTTTTGACGGAACTATCCTCTCTTCTCGTTAGTAGGACGTCGAGAAACTGTAGAGAGTCGTTGTGTTCTTCTTCGTAGGTGAAATGGACCGCTGGGTGAGTTTTATTGAAGGTGCTCAAAATCTAATTACTACTTAACTCTTCATCGTACACTACAAGAGTGTCATCCTTGTAATGACAGTACATTTCCATTTTTGTTGTCTCATCTTTGAATGGACTATTTTCTAGTTTTGCTAGAGATATGTTCGCGAAAATAGGTCCCAGTGGGGATCCCATGGCCACTCCATCAACCTGTCTGTACAATTCATTATTAAACAAGAACTGAACATTTGCCGTACACTTAACAAGTAGTTGTTTCAGATTACTAATAGGAATATCAGTGCACAATTTCTTTTCTATAATCTTTTCGCAGATATAATCGATGGTTTCCACTAGAGGCACATTAGTGAATAGAGATGCGACATCATGCATATATTTGCCAGTTGCATTCAAGTTTTTAATCTTATCAATAAATTGAAAGGTATCCTTATCGCTATGCTTTACTAATTCGTCATGCAAGGGTTAAATTAGCTGTACCAGCCACTTTGACGTCTCGTGATAGGGTGAATGAGACATATCTAGTATGGGACGTATGGTCACTCCTGATTTATGCACTTTCGGTAGACCCTACATGCATGAGATGGTGCTCCCTGTGGGTTTTATGTTTTCAAAAGTTTTTGGTGATATATTACCCTTTACCTTTCTAATCCTTTAATAAGTTTGTTATTTCTCTCTCTACTTTATCCGTCTGATCTTTCGTTACTTTCGGCTTCTGAAACTTGCTGCCATCATCTAGTATGGAGTTCATCTTGTTAATGTGGTCCCGCATATCCGTAGTTACTACCCGCTGTCCCTTATCCGGTGTGGTAATAACCATGTTTTCATTTCGTCTTAGTCTTCTAACAGCCTCGCGATGCTCTTTTGTGAGTATAATATGGGGCTTATTTTTACCCTTTTGTCTATAATGATAGCAACAGTTTAACAGGATTGATATGAATCTTTTGAGGTCCTCATCAGAGGAGGCAACCAAGTCCCCTGTTTGTAGATATAGAAGTTCTCGAACTGTACATCGGTGTCAATCTGACTAATCTCCATACGAAAATCACAAAACTTAGGTCCTAGAGATAACGCTTCAAGTTCTAGTTTATCAAGAGTCATGCTAGAAAAGTTATGGACTTGCCTTTCTGGATTATCAGGAAATTTACTTTTGGGACTTCGTCTTTCTAAGCCTTTCATCAGTTGTGATCGCTTTTTGTTTTTGAGGAATCAAATTCGGCGATTTCATCAACATATTCCATAAATTGTAGTCTCATATCCTCTGGAAGGTTGAGAAGTGCATAATTCCTTTAGTGATATATTTAGATCCAGTTGTGTGATATCAGACTGTATTGATTCGAGCTGATTAAGTGCATATCGTTCTAAAGTCATTTTACTTTGCACAAAGCTTTATACTGCTGTTTGGTTGATTGAAATTAGTAGTTGCGAACCACTCATCACCCAGATCGAGATGATCTAAACACCAAACGGTTGTTTTGCTGCTTTATTGTCAAGCTCATCAGAGATGTAGTCGCTTCGACTCAGTTCAGATAGCCGAATCATTTCAAAGCCTGGAAGAGGGATGAGATGTGCCGTCCAAATGAGTACTAACTGGTAGGTCACCTAGATAGAATAAAGTATGTGGGTGAAACGCTGAGATGTATGTAAAACATCTATGGGATGAGAACGTATATGCTAAAGGGGTTCAGACATGTGAGTCAGGTAGAACACAGCAACAATGAACACTTGACTGACTGGAAGATGAAATATAGCAATAGAGACTACACAGTGTCTCACCTTCCCTTTATTAACTTTTTGTTTTCAAATCCAAATTTTTTCAGATGAATGCTTCAAAGCCAAGTCATTCTGCTATGAAGTTGAACATCCTCGTCTCCACTTCATCTCTTGACATGTCGAATGCAGATGAAAAAGTCTTAAGAGAAGAACTGGAACCGTTGTTTCGCTTATCACTAGAACTTTCTCGTCAAGACACTCATGTACGTCAATGGAATATGCTTGTACACAATGCTGCAACACTTGGAGATGTACAATCACGAACTGACGAACGCTTTAGCACTCAAGCATTGGATACATACTACCGTATGAATCTCACCGCTCCGATGATATTGACAAGTTTATTTTTAGAGCATTTCGCACCAGCAAGTCAGTCATTTCACCATCCTGTTACAATTGTGAATATTTCCAGTCTAGCAGCTGTTCAACCATTTTCGTGTATGTCTGATTATTGTGTAGGCAAAGCTGCGAGACAAATGTATTTGAAGTGCTTGTGTGTTGATCGTCCATCGATCGCTGTGTTCAACTATTCTCCTGGCCCACTGGATACAGATATGTTTAAACAGATTTTAGAAGAGCATGGAGATGAGAAGACACGACAAGCTTTTTCTCAGATAAAAGTTACCGGTAGAATAGTTGAACCGTTGGAGTCTGCACGTGTTTGTGTAGCATGGTTGAGAAAACAAATTCCGATCAGTGGGGGGACGACGGGTGAAGGATGTGTCCCCAAATTATCACATTGTTCAGTTCATCAAAGTCAATATTCTGATGTTTGGACTGGCCCACGTCTAGATTATTTTGACGCTGTTCGTGAAGTGAAGTGAAGAATTGTGTGTGTCTGTCGGCTGGTGAGACGGCATTATGTATGAAGTCTTACAAAATACAATCGAACACGGACTAATTGTGATATATATTACCTCTATAAATATACAAAATGATTTGAACTTTGTCCCTACACTCTGATTCATTCCAGTACTATTATTATTGTAATTTTTATGCCAATCGTCTTTTTAATGTACTTTAATATTTTACTCCATCTTTTAATTATTATCGCTTCCAAGCTGGTATTGAATCGCTTACTTCACCGTGTTTTTGATCAACGCCTTATGATTTATGCTTTCTCTATTGAAATGCATGGAATAAACACATTTATTCTCTAGTGGTATTTTCTTTTGACTGTTTGATATCAAATGAAGAGTGTTTGGTTTAGGGAAAGAAATCATAGCCAGCTTTAGTTTGGTTGTGCTATCGATCATTTACGGGCAACTCTAAAGAATAGCAGCCCAAACCGATACTACCTAGAGACCGGACAAATGACCTTCACAAGGACAACTTCGACCAATCAGAAGGCTCAAAAAAAACGGCGCATAGTAGTAATAAATCGTTTATATACAAGTAATGCAATGTTAAAAAATAGTTACAAAAGACAACGTTCTCGTATATGTTGCAAAAAAAACCTGCCAATTTCTCATAGGAGTCTTGATACTCATGTTAAACCAAGTCCTGTAGATAAACTCATCGAGATAACTGTATATCATTGCATTTCTTGATCCATTCACAGATCTGATACGTTTTTTCAGGTGACTCCTGAAACTTTCGATGGAATTAGTGTGAGTTCCATCAAAAGGATTAAGAAAACTATTTGTATGGTTGACCACTTGATAAATATAGCCCAGATTCGATAAGTGACTGTAACTACTCCATTCATCTGTATGAATAGTCGTCCCAGGCAGCACTAGGCGCTGGATAATAGGCAATAATGATACACCTGCACTGCGATTAGGGATAGCCCCAATATATCCTTTCTGGAGGCTGGTGTCATATATCCCTAATACCTATTGCTGATTCACACTCAATCTCCCTCGATTATATTTTCTTTTTATCAAAGTACCTAAGGAATCTGTAAATTAAAAACGAACGACATACGTTCTCGAACTGATTTTCTGGTTCATCAACAAACAAACCCATCGATGCACCTATTGTATCTTTGCATATTGGCAATTTTTCGACATTCCTATCAGTCCGTTCTCCAAACAGTAATCAAAAACAAGATCTGGAGCGAATTTGCAACGCAAAAGGTGTAAAGCACCCATAAATACGTCTGGAAAATACGGAGTCACCTGATTGGTTGTTCAAGGTCATTTATCCGTTCGCTAGGTAGTTTCGGTTTGGGCTGCTATTCTTTAGAGTTGCCCATTTACGATCCTATTTTTGACTGTGAACTGTCGAATGAATACGATACGCTTCAAAACGATTATCATCATTGGTTGCCGAAGAACCGTTATATCTGGATGAATTAAGATTTTTAATCAATATGTATCTGAGAATCAGAGTTAGTCCCGTTAAAAGCTGGTGTAAGTCACTGATTATTCGAGTTTCTAGGGAAGGAGACAAGTGTCCTTGTGATAATCATACAGGGATTAGTAAAGCGGAAGAAACAAACCCGAGTAAACCAGGCAGGCTTTACGCAAGGAAGAGAGTGTATTGATCAATATATATTCACTGTTCGACAGATTCTGGAAGATAGGTATACCTACCGGCGTCCAACAACAATTGCCATATTTCTTGACTTGCAGGTGACATTCCACTCCGTCGACCGAGAGGCGCTGTGGGAATGTTTAGCCTTGAATGGAGTATGGAGAAGGCATTTCGTATTAACTAAGGCACTCTGATCGAACAGACGCAGCTAGGTAAGAACTTATGAAGAGCTTTCATTTGAAGTTACGAGAACTAATGCTATGCATCAGTGATTTCCATTTCTGTTTAGTGTCATTACACATGGGATTGATTCTAACTAACTTCAGCGATTTAGGGAGTGATTTGTTTGTTACTAGGACATACATACAGTCTTGTTGACCTAAATTATGCGGTTGATATTGTACTCTTTGGTGAAGACGCTGATAGAAATGCTGAGTCTTCTGAACATCTTGAGAAGAGACAGAAATCTTCGAGTGTTTGACATGCAATTCGCTCCTGTCAAATGTAAGAGGATGTGCTGTAGGACAGGTCTGCACCAGTTTCTTGTTTCAAGATAGGGAGTGTAAAGTGTTTGAGCGTGTCGACCACTCCACTCATTTGGGAAGTTGTATCGCTCCCAATGGATTGATTACTGCAAAAATTTCGGCACGGATACAGAAGGCTCGTTTCGCATATGCCAGTTTACGCCGTCTCTGGCGTAGACGTAATATATCTGGCTATCGACCAAAGGGCGTGTGTACTGCTCAGCAGTCCTCTCCTTTATGACTGTGAGTGAGACATGGTCATTGAAAGTGGAAGACATGAAAAGGCCGGCTAGCTGTCTTTAATCACAGGTGCCTGCAATCTATCTCCCGCGTGAAGTGGTATAGTAGGGTGAGCAATAGTGAGGTTAGGCGTCGAGTGCAAGTAAGGAGAGGAAATCAATAGACGAGGCTGTGAAGTTATATCGACTGAGATGCTTATGACATGTGTTACGTATACCTAGACATCGCCTCCCTCGACAGGCAATGTTAGCTGAATAGGGTTAGGCTGGAAAAGACCTAGTGGTGGTGGTCAAACCAGAAAATGACATCAGTCAATGAAATCTACAACATTTAATTTAAGCCATCCACGTAGGGAGATGTAGACTTCTCGGCTCATTGCGGTCCTTGGGATGGTAAAAACTTATGAATGTTGGAGACAATTGGCCGTACGACTCAAAATCGTTCTCTGGCTGGCGCAGATGCATCCACTCCTTGTGACTTATAATATCCAATAAAACTATATTGTTCTTCCATATTACTATTCTTTTTGCCTCATATCTCTTTTGAATTTCTTCTCTGACTTTGTGTGCTAAGTAAAGTGTGGCGACTCGAACTGGTGCACATCAATGCAAGGTTCCACGCTGAAACCAGTCAGTCAGGCATGTTTTACTCTATGTGGAGTTGTAAAAAAAAATATGCGCGTATAACATCGATGCAGGTTGAGTTTTTTGAAATGCGTCTTGTAGTGACTAGTTTTCAATTGTATAAGTTAGTCGATAATTCTACTTGCCGAGACGACTCTGATCAGTTTGTTTGTACGGGCATTAGAGTTTCAAATTCAAGGGTATTACTAATTTTCCTTAACCATAGTACTAAGTTTAGTCGGGATACAAAATGTTACTGACATGAATGAATGCACAGTGTATGCATACAGTAAAGAATTCCCCCACACACCCTGAAATAACCCGAAGAACTTCACCAACAAAATCAACACAAACATTAAGTATGGCCGAAAACGCATTCCGAAAACATGGACCTTGACAGTCGTCATCCCACATAGAGCAGAGACGTCAGATGATATCAGAAGAGTACTCAATCAGCTCGACATTATAGTTTTCTTCAAAACATCAGACACACTACGAAACAAGCTTGTCCATATAAAAGACCAAATCCGTAAAGATTCTCTATCTAATTGTGTTTATAAAATAAAGTGCTTCGAATGTGATGCGATATACATCGGACAAACATCACCAGAGGGAAATCATAATCAGAAGTAATGAACACCGTAGAGCATCTGTTTGACCACCAAGAAATCCAATTCAACTTGAAAAATCATCAGCCGTAGGTCTACATGTTATAGAATTAGGTCACAAAATTGATCATGGCAATATTGAAATAATCCAGAAAAATCTCAGAAATCACAAAGAACGTCTAATATCAGAAGCATTTGATATCAAGTGGAATCTAAATTGTCTGAATAGGAATGATGGACAAACACGCTCCTCCCCCATGAAGTGACAAAATCAACACGAATGTGATAAGCTATTTCATGATGTAAACACACACTGTTTTATAATTTTACATACTTATCAAATCCAACAATTTACACTTGGTTTTGTTATCTTTACCAACTTGACAACGAAAAATGACCCCAGACTGACGAACGATAATCAAGTTAGTAAACTTTGTTTTGATATCATAACAGACGTACTATCACCTTTGTTATTTAGTTTAGTGATGTTCATTGGTATTTTAACTTTCAATATGTCCTTTTAACTTGAACTAAGTCTATTTTCTCACCCCTTAACTCTTTGTTATATATATGCTGAGATTTTGTAAATTCCGGTTTAATAATACTTTGATAAAGCTATTAGCAGCATTAAATAGCGAAACGTCAGTAAAAAGAATATCGTTTTGTTTTTCATTCATTGGGAAATACAGAAACCTTTATTATAATGAATATCATTTACCGAATGCCCAAATTTGTTCAAACTGTTAAAAGTGAACTTGGTTTGGACATATATAATGTAAATAATCAGTTTAACTTACCCTGTGTAGCATAGTTAAGTGGAAGGTCTCTCTCAGTTCCTGAAACAGTTTTTGTTTCCATGTGTTCCAAGACTTCGATACACAAAATTATTGTGTAAAGGTTAACAATGCCACTAACCAGCTGTCTTTAATAATAATAATAATAATTTACTTTATTCCGAAAACAGTACTTATAATACAGAATGGAATTCTCAGCATTTGTCACAATATTGCATCTGATTTACTCAAAATATACATAAAATTAAAAATTAGTCGGGGGAATTTGTCCACATTTACGACATAATTATTAGATATAATAATAATAAATACTAATAACAGTGAGTTTGTTTCAAACGGTATTGTCGATTCAGTTTGGGAACTTTAGCACGTTATAGATTATTGGGTTTAATGTTCTGTTGATATAGTATAGTGAGGGGAAATACAAAATTAACAGTCATGACACAACTTAAATGATGTTTACACTTTTGAAAAAAAAAATAAACGAAACGAAAAAATTGAGAGGATTATAAATATAAGAAATACAATAACAATAAAGAATGATGCTTTAAGAGTAAAGGAAATGGTTTATTTAGTAGTGCTGAGGTTAGTTAGTTCATGTCTGACACTATTTTCATCACATAAAGTACGTGCTAAATATGGTATAGTGGAATTTTTATACTTAAACGTACGTGCATAAATTCTTCTGAAAAGACTTCTTGTTTTACCTGAGGAGACACAAAATTGGAGCTGCGGGTAGAGTGGGTGCTCAGAGTCTGACAAAATTCCTTTAGCGAATTGTTGCATGACATCAAGTGCCTATCAGTGACAATGTCAACGATATGGCCCAGTTGGATACTACTCGTCCTACTGACAGTCTTCAGAGTTCT